TACGTATCAGCAATTTTGTTTCACCCATAACTTCACAATTAGTCTATGAGTTATTATTCAGACTGGCAGTTAAAATTCACCATGGAGACRTAAACAAACAAGTCACTTGATTGCAAGGTATTGTTTCAGCTTGCTTGTTTTTGCAAATACATAAACAGAACCAAGGCAGATTAAGCGAAAAACAATGGCGGTATGTTCACGTTCGTGGTCGGGTTGTGTATGCAAATTCAAAAACACTGTTATTTCAAACTGGTAATGCGAACTTCATTTATAGTAAAGTAAGAATCGCAATAAAACTAATCATCTCACTTATCATTTTCTGTGCGAAATTTCCTCTTAAAGTTGTGCGAACGGTCCAAAACCTGTGCGAAAAAACTTGTGCGAACAGTCTTTTGGGCGAAGTGACCTGTATTCCAATAAAACTATTTTGCTCACTTGTAATTTTCTGTGCGAAGTGTCTTCTTAAATTGTGCGAACGGTCCGAAATATGGCCAAACAACTTGTGCGAACAGTCTTTTGGGTGAAATGACTTGTATTCTATACATGTGTTGTTTTGGTGATCTTTGAATATCTTGAAAGATACTTTGCCAAACCAAGACCAGTTTTGACATTAATTCTTTATTTTTGTTGGAGTTTTGTCATATTCTTATTTTGTAGGTTATGCGATTGTTTGAACAATTTGAAGTACCAGACATGGTTATAAATGTTGCTAATACAGCTGTAAGCACTGCTAGTCCAGATGATCCAAACATTGTAAGTTAATAATATTAAGATAATATTATATCAATCAAATCAAGCTTCCTCTTTGTGCCTAGTGGCACATAGGGCCTTTAATATATAATTATAATATATATGTATTGCACATAGGGCCTTTAATATATTATAATATATATGTATTGCACATAGGGCCTTTAATATATTATAATATATATGTATTGCACATAGGGCCTTTAATATATTGTAATATATATGTATTGCACATAGGGCCTTTAATATATTGTAATATATATGTATTTTTTTCGGTCTGGTATCCTAGTCATTTGCGCTCTGTGATTGGCTAGCGCTCGGTCTGGTTTTTCACAATCTGCCTGGTCCACAGTATCCTGCTCCTAGGCTGCCAGCAAAGTTATACAAAATACAAATAAAAAAATAAAATTGTTATTTACCAGCTATAGGTCGGTCCGTATAGGAAAACTCTGCCCTCGGTCTTTTATGTACAGACCTTGCTGCGCTCATTCTGTACTGTCAAGACCTCGGGCAGTATTTTCTTATACAGACCTCCCAACCGGTAAATAACATATATATAGGGCCCTAGTATTATACAGCCTTTTGCAAAAATTATGAGAATTGTTGAAATATCTAAATATCATAATATCAAGTGCATGATCCCGCGCGATGCCCTTAGTCTCTTGCCTTTGTTGTTTAGTTTTTTTTTCGGGGACGGACTTATCCGTGGTTCTGAACATTTTCTTGATGTCAACAATGAATTATTCTAGCAAACCCACGTGTTCCGGACAATGTGTGGATATGGATATTATGATATTTAGATATTTAGACAATTCTCATAATTTTTGCAAAAGGCTGTATTAATTAGTATAAATATGTTTCTAAATATACTTTTTTTGATTGCTGCATCTGACAAAATGCAGACAAAATGTTTTATTGATAATTATAGCATTTGATAAAATTAAAGGTAATAAGTTAATAAAGATTTAAAGATAAAGATCTGAACCAGAAGCAAATTAAGCATAATTAATATGTACTTTGGTGATGTTTTTGCTATCTTTTTTCATTCAGCCTAACYTTTGGTCAAACATATTTAAGCATCATCTTCAGCTTGGCCACAATGACCAGGCATATGCTGCTCTCACTAGTAATCCAGATCCCTCAAGGTATGTGACTATTTGTGTGAACATTCAAGAACTGGATTTATGTTACTTACTGTACACTTTCTGGCCGGGGTCATAATAGTAATGTCAAAAAATGAAATTGTAGCCTTTGTCCTTTGCCTTAACCTTTATGTAAACTATGTGTTTACAAACTGAAGTCATGTACATCTCGAGGGGGTTGCTATTTTGCGAGCCTGCGAGCCTGAGCCTCTAAATGCGAGCCTTCTTCAAAATAACCAAAAAACATTAATTTCTTTATTTTGTTCCTGTTCTATTGTAGAATTTCACTACATCATGTACTAACACTGATTTTCGTTGAAAAACCAACTTAGTTGCCTTATAGTGACAATGTGGTTTCTCTTTCACATAGATAATTCGGAACTTCCAGGCTAATTAGAAATGAGACGACTTTTTAATATCTGACGGTTTATTGTAGAGAGACGAGATAGAATTGAAGTAAAACATGACATAAGCACTACAATAGTGGAAAGACCTCTTGCCAGGTCCAAAGAGGTGGTTTTTATGCACGAGGCACATACCCGATCACGTGATGAAAAACTAATTTTACATGAAATCTACAGACAAACAATATTCAATACATGGCCGCGTTTTTGCAGTTAATCGCAGAGTCCGCCAAACATCCAACTTTTTTCCAGATTTCGTTTTCAATTTTAAGTATGAATAAAGTGTGATTTGAGATGTTCTTATCRTTGCAGCCATTCGACGGCTGCTATAAAAAGCACGCGATTGTATCGGGAAAACAAAAATCTCTAGGCCAACTAAAGTTGCAGAGAAAAAAGCAGGGGGAACTCAGTAGTATTCAAAATATTTTGATGTTTTACTACAAGGCTTTTATTCGTGCGTTGTAACCCATGAAATCCCGTACAATATATTTAACCTGAGTATCAGACCTTATGAGGGCGTTAGAGACTGATCTTGGCCGAAGGTGCTAATGGCACAGACAACGTACTTCACGAGATCTCACTACTTGGAAGTGATCTCATGAGCTAAAAACATTTGAATTTAGAAATAGAAGTATCACGGCTAATTTAGGCTAAAGTTCACATCTCAGCACTAGACTTGCTTTCGAAACAAAATATATTACTTTGCAGCAAAAAATAATCGTACTCAGTCGATCTCCATTCACTTTGTACAAGTACTTGGACCGTGCATTTCGATTACTGAAATGTCTAAGTTGAGATTGAAAAACAAATGTCTGTTAATTTTCTATTTTGAAAGAGGCTCGCAAAAAAGGCTCGTGGCTTGCACATAAAGGCTCGGGCTCGCAGGCTCGCACATTAGATACACTCACATCTCGACACAAGAGGAGAATATGTAATGATGGATTCTATGTAATGCTATAAACCATTTGAACAATATAAACTTCTCATTGAAAACCATAGTTGACATATGGTAAGTTATTAATGACAACAGACAAAATGGTGGGTTAGTAAATTGATATACATCARTTTTGATGTTGTTAAATCAAACTTTGCTTCAGGCTCACTGGGTTACACAAAAWGTACCTGTCCTACTTTTTTTCTTTAATCAACAGGAAGAGAGACTGTCTTCATCGCTTCAYGGTTGTTTTGTGTGAAAAAGGAAAACTTCAAGAACTGTGTGAATATCCATACATCAATCTCCATGAAGAGGTAACAGAATGGTTTTTGATTTATTGCAAACCTGTGTTGCAACCATTCTTGTTATAGCGCTGTTTATGGCCGCARACTATTTTTGTCATAGCAGCTTAGAGTGGTTTTCATAAACCTGTGAAACAAAGTGTAATAATTAGAGTTTAATAGATCGTAATAGTCACGTAGAGACAATAAAAAACAAAAGAGATAAAATGTAATAGCGATAAATACGCTAAAGTGTGTTTCACAGGTTAATGAAAACCATTCTAAAAATACTTGCAAAAAATGATTTCTCTCAACCCATATTCAATTCGTTTACAAGAGACTAGTATATTATACAATCACTGCCAAAATACATTACAAGCATTATTTATAGTATTCACAGGAATTTTGAAGCAGAGTCATGTGYCATGTTTCTTTAGAAAAATTAAGATTTCACTTTTGCTGCCATTTTTGAATTTAGTATTGAGTCTTAAAACTTTGCCATTTTACCTACAAACCTGCTGCTCTATCAATTTCTTGACATCATTTTTAAATCAAATTTGACACTCATTTAGTCACTTTACTGTAAACTGGATGTTGCTACTATAATAGTAACATAGTTATTTTTTCGTCATGTATTATATTATTATTATGATCACGGCTGTATATGCATGTATGGCATGGCTGTATATGCCTCATGAATAATCTATAAGACAGTATGAAGGTTTCAATTGCCCAATAATCTACTTGCATACTTGCATTGAATTTGTCATGATTTTGTGTTGCTTAAAATATTTAAAACATTTAATGGTCTGATTGTATATCATAAAAATACTATTACATTTCCATTTCTTCAACCTGACGAAGGATTAATGCCCAAAACATAAGTTAAAAGTATTTTTTTTGTTTCACCTCCTTTTCGGTGATAAAATCTTTTTGAATGGACAAATTACTGTATTTATTATTTACAAAGTGTAAAAGTATGAAAAGAGAAGGTATGCTTCAAATGTTTAAAACCTGACTGAGTTGAAATGCAGATTTTGTAGTTATGTATCTTTGTATATAATTTTGGTCTTACTCATTGCATAGGGCAACAATTTGGGTAAAATCAAACTGTATGCAAAAAAAAATGTATTCATTGATTTGTACTTTCTAGTTTGTTGACATCATGGAATCTCATGCAAGGACCATTGATATTACAACACACCAATACTATGATGTGCTTTATGCATTTCAAGTATTCCGAGGCAATTATAGAAAAGGTATTGTGCAATTCTCCCCATAGTTGGCAATACAAAACCTGAAAATGTTCCATGTAAAATTCTGTGAAACATGCTTTGGTATGAAACAACAACAACAACAACAAACTGCTGGATTATCCATGAAAAGATGACAGTTTTTACATGGTATTGTGTCAACAATCAGGGCCAATAGATAAAACTTACCAATCAGAAAGCATTTATATTCAGGAAGAGGTAGAACTGATGGAACAGAATTAACCAACCAAATTATAGTGTTCTTATGCTTATTATACAATACAGAAATGAAAGAT